TCAGTATTATGGTTTTACCCATTATTTATTAGTTTTACTATTGAAGCCATATATATATAAGCCGATAAACGAGCAGACGGATCACCTGATGGTAAGCAATCGGCGTCGGTCATAGACACCTGGAACACCAGAGGCGTTACAAGAACTCACTTTACACTGGTTGTGTCACTATGGTTCTTTGCTCGGCCGTGGTATCACTCCGGTCGAGCCGGCCCATTCGTGCCGAAGCATGGCTCTCCCACACTAAAAATGTATTCGATTCTCAAAAAAATTCAGTTATATATATAGAATAGTAATTTGCCGATGTTTAATTAGTTCCCATTCTGTCCGCAGTCGCTGGTATCGCTTTTCGCGCGCATCACCAAGCTGAGCTGGTTCGACATGATCAAAGAGGAGTTTGTATTTCACAACGTGATCAATGATATCACCAATTTTCTCAGGGTAAGTGTATTTAAATATCAACTACTATTATACACAAGAATAGGCATGGCGACTATTTTTTAATTTTTTGTCCGTCTTTTAGATATTTTAAAAATCTTCGATACGTATTTTTTCTTTTTTCTCGTATCCAAAAAAACATGTAGATATTTTGAGTTAAAATGACGCGTGACGTCACATTTAGGTACGATTTCTCCGTAAGTGTGACGTCAACACCCCCCACTCCCTAACTTTAATGCGGAATAACTACGTATTCTTCTGTTAATTTGATAAAACAAAAAATACGTGTCTGATATTTTCGTGCGATCTTAATGACGGACTAATTACTTTTTTGATTTTTTTACCCTGTCGACACGCCTATTGGCCATAGTTAGGGTTGCCAACCGTACTCTAAAATAGAGTATTGTCCTCTATATCATGCAGGCGTACTCTACAATCTATAACACTAATAGAGGACGCTAAAATACTCTTTTTAACTTGACACAATATCACTCTGTTATGAAAAGTACTGGACCAAATTGAAGTATAGACATCGAGTAACAACCTACCTATCGAGCTAATTAGACTGATGACACAAAGAGTACGAAAAAAAAACTTTCTAAAGCATAAAGTAAATGATACTCTTTTTTGAAATCCGTACTCTTTATTTACCTCCTTTAAAATCAGATATACTCTAAGTCAAAGTCAAAATCATTTATTTCAATTAGGCCAGAATGGCACTTTTGAACATCAAAAAAAAATTAAATCTATTTTTTATACAATTGGTAACATCTTTTGTTATTACTACATAGTCAATAGTCAATCCGTAATACATAAATACAAATACTAAACGAAAGAATAATCAAAGTTCAAGATAAAGGACACAATCATTAAAAGCTCAATAACAAAAAATTTAAATCCTTATTTAATTTAATATTTAATTTAATTTATTAATTTAATTTAATTTATTTAATTTATTTAATTTATTTAATTTAATATAATTTAATTTAATATTTAATTTAATATAAACACAAACTTATTCCAGAAAAAACACCCTACTATAAATACACACCCCAAATCATTCTAAACTCACCTGATTTTAAAATGTACTGGGACAGAACTATTTTAACCGTTAAAACCATACATCACAATCGGCCAGACATCACACTCCATGACAAAAAAAAAACAAAATAGTATACCTAATAGACATAGCTATACCTAACACCCATAACCTAAGTTCCACTCACACTAACAAGCTTTCTAAATATGCAGACTTGACCATTGAGCTCAAAACTCAGTGGCAAGTCCATACAGTCAAGACCGTTCCCGTTATATTATCTAGCACAGGCGTCATCCCCAAAACACTGCACACAAGTCTAAAGACTAGATTTACATCCACTCACATACACACTCTTACAGAAAGCAGTTATACTCAACACATGTAGAATAGTTAGAAAATTCTTATCAATAGATTAAACCACCACAAGTCTCATCCCCAAAACTGCTTTGACCAAAAGTCCGCAGCTTTGGTGTAGTCCCCCAGAAATGGGTGAGGTTTTAACCTAAAATACAAAATAATAATAATA